CGAGGGCCTGGCTGTCAGAGAGAGAGGGGGGTGAGGGCACAGCCGTTTGAGAGAGACGGGGACAAGGGCCTGGCCATCAGAGAGAGAGGGGGACAAGGGCCTGGCCATCTGAGAGAGAGGGGGACAAGAGCCTGGCCATCAGAGAGGGGGGGGATGAGGGCACGACCATTTGAGAGAGAGGGGGATGAGGGCATGGCCATTTGAGAGAGACGGGGGGCCGAGAGCCTGGCCATCAGAGAGAGGGGGGGATGAGGGCCTGGCCGTCAGAGAGAGTGGGGGATGAGGGCACGGCCATTTGAGAGAGACAGGGGGCCGAGAGCCTGGCCATCTTGAGAGAGAGGGGGAGGAGGGCCTAATGACGTCTCTTCCTCTCTGGATTTCAGCATCGGGCGTGGGACGCCTCACACATGACACAGCTCCTACTTCCCTGCAGCACAATTCCAGTTTTTAGTGAAAATATTTAAGTACTTTAGAGCATTTTATCTTAAAATACCAAGTCCAAAGTGATTTGAAGTAAGTTAGAGTTTGCTTTAATAGGCTCTTATGTTTGGAGGGAAATGACACATTTTCTTTTACTTTTTTTAAAGGAAAAGACTCCACCCCACTCCAGCACCCGAACCAAAAGAAAAAAACTGAAAGATATTCTTTTGTTTCCAGCTTTTCTTTCCCTAAATGAGTTGTTAGGTCAGGTGTCTTGTTCCTAGTGTGTGTGTCAGCACATGACCGAAGGGAGGTGCCCCTGCAAGGGCAGGGCCAGGAACTCTGTTCCTAGAAGTGCTGAATTGAGGGTCACTCTCTATATCCTCCCTGGAACTACAGCACTCCAGGCTGAGGTGCATCTCTCAGTATGAACGTGCATCTCCCTGTGCCTTCAAGGTCAGAGAAGGTCAGGCACCAGCAACATCCCAGCCATCGGAGGGCAAGAGACCCCACCCCCCACATTGACAGAGCCCAGCTCTGCCTCCCCTCAGGCCCAGGACAGGGCCTTACTGGATACCCAGGTAGTACAGCTACCTGATGAGGAGGCCTCAGAGAGGGTCATATCTCAGTTGCATCAGAGGAAACTAAGGGTGCCCTCACCCACTGCCTCTGTGTCACCACTAGTAGGTGACCAGTGACACTGGACTCCTGCTTCCTCTTCCTGCCTCCTATGCGCAGATGGGTTCCACCCACATGGGTCACCAGCTCCTTCCAACAGCACTCTCTTCATACCCTGCCCATCCATGCTCAGCTGCCCAGGACAGTACACCAGTGCCAGGGACAGAGACAGCATCATTCCTCTGAGAAGATGGTCAGCCGGGTTCTCACGCACCTCTGAACCTGAAGAACCCGCCCAGGCACAGCAGCCCTCAGCTGAGAGCATCAGGGAAACCATCACTTCTCAGACATACATGGTGCCCTGGTCCTGACTTCGTGGCCTGATACAGCCTGGGAGGCCCAGCAAGTGGAGGGGTGGGTCCAGAGAGTATGGCCCCTGGCGGGAGCCAGGCTCCTACACATACTCCAGGGTCACTCCTGCTATCTGTGAAGCATTGACCCTGGTCCTCACTGGGTTGTCAGGCTCTTTTGTTTTGAGATATGACAAAGCTTTTCTCTGTGTATATATGCGTTCTAAATAAAACAATGATAATACAAAGCAGATATGAGAAAATATTTCAAATAGACTGAGTTTTCAAGTAATGGTGTGACTTTGAACTTTACCAAAATCAGAACAAACAAAAACTGCTACATGAAGTTTTACAATTAACCCTTTTTTGCACAGTCTCCTTGCAAATGACAGCCCTATCAGCTCTCCCTGCTAACCTATCTGATCCTCAACACTTTATGCTCTCAGTCCAACTGAAATGCAGATAAACAACATCACACTTCTGTACCCCTGTGCTAAAGGCAGACACTCGATTCTGGGGATGATCAGAGTTGCTGGGACATTATCATCACAGTTGTAGTAAGACTAATAATAATAACAAACACATATGACATGTGTGATACCAGGCACTGTTCTAAGTATTTTGTGTGAATTAACTCATTTATCATGGCAACATTCCTTTGAGATAAGTACTAATAATGTCCCCATTTATAGCCAGGGAAACTGAGGAACAGAGAAGTAATTTGTCCAAAGTCACACAGTTAAGTGATGGAGGCCAGAGTAAGAAGGTCCGACCAACACAAAGTTTAAAAGTCACATTACACTTAGGGAGTCTGATAATTACCAAAAACTTTTAGCTCAGATGGTCATGCTCCTTCAGACATTTTGAGTTTCCCTAACACAATTTAATGTATAAGCAGGATAAGCCTAGGAATATAAAGTGTTTGGCAGGTCAGTAGTAGAATTAGTGCCCTCAGCCCATAAGCACCAATCGTTACCATTTATCCTCCATGCCAGCTCTTGGGGAATTAGGGTCACTAACCTTAGGGTTCTTTGTGAAGAAACAGAACTAAATTACCATCAGTAGAGATTTAAGCAATAAAATTATACAGATGCTCTAAACTCATTAGAATGCTCAGCAAACAGGTCATATTTCACACAGGTGAAGTGTTCCACTTTTAATTAAATGTGTAATTAAGCATATTGATTTTGGGGTCACACTAACTTAAATAAGAGACTATGAATCCTGCTCTGGAGACTTGTGTAGGCACTGTTTTCTCCTCCAGACACGTGGAGGAGACATTACCTGTGGAGCACATCACCCTCTGTGAGCTCTGCAAAACCAGGCCCATCTTTGGGGCCCAGATTCATGCTCCTGAGTTTATCCTGAAGTTCTCCTGCAGCAGGAGGAAGCCTGGAAAGACAGTTGGTTTCATTAACTCTTGAACACATTCTATCCCAGAGATCTGGGAGTTCAGAAGTCAGTATCAAGGACTAAAACATTCAGTCTATTAAGTCTGGATCTCTTTTTAAAGTTGGATGTGATTTCTTTTATTTATCGTCTTCTAGCTAATAGTTGAGCACTTTATATAAAAAATGAGCACGTCCTTCTAGTTGTTAGCAAGAATAAAAGAGAACTACAATTTGCATTCCTGTGAAAGTTTAACAGCTCTCTGTCCTAATCTGTTTTCCTCCTTGAATGCTAGTTTCCTGCCTAGAGAAGCAGAGTAGGACTTGTGGGATTCTGTACAGCTTGGCCTCATGCTTTTAAGCTCATTCAGGTTTGAGGGATGTTACGTACACATCACGCACAGCTCTCACCCACAACCTGCATCTGGGCCTTCACCAAGCGCCATAGAGTAGACATAAGCTCACCATGCAAAGATGATGGTTGGCACTTCCTGATCCCACTGGGTTGTCCGTTGTGCAAAACTCAGGGACATAGGTTGAAGGACTTGGGGAGGCACATGGAGCGTCCATCCTGTCGTCACTATTTCTAGTCCAGTGTGAACAGTCCTGATGCGTCCTGGAGTGACCACAAGCACAAAAGGTTATCCTGACTTCTATGTAAAATATTTTAAAAGCTTGAACACAGCTTTGAAACTTAGGGGAAAAAAAATGCCAGAAACCCTGCATGAAAAACTGCATTGACCTGGGCAGAAATAGAGAATACGGTGTCTTCAGGTGCTTCCTGCGTGTGCAGGCTGGAGAGCACACTCAGCCTGAGGAATACACACACACACTTGATGTGCACATGCAAACTTACATATTTAAATGTGTATACGTACATTTGTGTTCATAAATGTGTATACATGTGCTGTATACTTACATACACATATGTGCATACCCATAGGGCAGGGGTCCTCAAACTTTTTACACAGGGGGCCAGTTCACTGTCCCTCAGACCATTAGAGGGACAGACTGCGGGCCCCAGGACAAGTCAGCTGCTAAGCAAGACAGGCAGCAGTGGCAGAAACACCCAGCAGGCCGGATAAATGTCCTCTGCGGGCTGCATGTGGCCTGCGGGCCATAGTTTGAGGACACCTGCCGTGGGCCTTGGGAGAAGGCTGAGCGAGACCTGCTGGGCATTTGCTCCTGTAACTCCACAGTACACCACAGGAGGGCGACAGAGCACAGAACTGACCATCTGTCCCTGGGCAGGGTAGGGGTGACCAGGCCTCAGCTCCCCTCTCCCAGGCAGGGTGGGGTGACCAAGCCTCGGCTGCCATGGAGAAGCATACCATAGAGTCATGAGCTTCATTATTTGTGACTCTGAACAATTTCTTGGAACTTTCAATAAGGACACATTCCTGACTCATAAATCAGAGCTAAAGTTCACCATCAATTCCTGCCATCCTGGGCTGGCTGTTGTGTTCCCAGTTTGGCATCTCCACACTGTCCTCTGCTTCTGGATCGGGCTTATCTTGGAGGAAATAGTGCCTCTTGAAACAAAGATAAATTACCTTCTGAGTGTGAACTTGGTCCTTCAAAGTTACTATTTCTGAGTCCTAGGGTTAATAGCAAAGATATATCCTGTTCTCATTCATTGGAAAGCAAAGTTCAAAAGTGATTCTGAAATTATCAGTTAAGAATTTGCCGGATCATCTCTTCTGGTCTTGCCATGTGAGGAAGAAAAAAAAAAAAAGAATTTGCCTGATCAAAGTTCCTTTTGCCATAGAAGAGTCTTGATCACTCTACAGAATGCCCACCCCATCACCAGTCCTGGTGTTACTTATCTTCAGCTTGCGTTTTCTGCCTCGTTTAAGCAGCATTGACACACATGGCATTCTCATCGTGGCTTTGCTTTTCCACTGAGGGCCTGTGCACCTGAGCTGCCCTTTCCCATAGGACAGGTTCTCCTGAGACTTTTAGGCCAAACCCGGGCTCCTGGGCCCTTCTAGGTGTGAGTCTCTTGAGGGCCTTTTTCTTGCCTGGTTCTTTTTGGTGGTCTCTGTAACACTGTGTATAAATTGTGCAAAATGCTTCCACATCTGTCACTGCATGTGCTGCCTCAGTTGTGTGTTGCTGGTCGTGACGCCTTAGACCCCACTGCACCTGTTACAGGCCAGGCCTATTTTGTGGTTGGTCAGTTTCAATATTGGACAATTGAACAACCTTTTAAAAAAAATTCTAGCATTTCAGAAAATGTTTGCTTGTCATTTTATCTGGGGATTCATCTCTTTTGTTTGACAGGTCAAAAAAATTCCAGTCATTTATTGAGAGCTGTTTGGTAAAGAACCACAGCCAGCGGCCGGCCACAGAGCAGCTGATGAAGCACCCGTTCATCCGGGACCAGCCCAATGAGCGACAGGTCCGCATCCAGCTCAAGGACCACATCGACCGGACCAAGAAGAAGCGAGGAGAGAAAGGTTTGCACACCTTGTGTGTCAGCAAGAGGAAGGGGAGACGAGCGGGGCTGAGCTCCAGTGTGCAGGGAGGTGACGATGGCCTGAGTCGTGCTTTAGGTGAGGGCTGCCTCTGAGGCCAGCCTCGGGCAGCACTAGGCGAGACTGCTGAAGTAGAATCTTTCTGGAAAAATAGAGCTACAGGAAACATTCCCTCTTCCAGGCCTTGAACAAATCAGGTTGCATGATAACTGTGAAGTACTTTTCTGTGACAAGTGATTTTCGTAATTCAAGTGAGTATTCACATGTGGAAAACTAGAAAGCTCCAGAAGATAGACAACCTGAAGAAAAATTCATATAGTGACATTTTTCTGCACTGACACTTCCAACACTTAGGTGTTTGTGTTCTGAGGCTCATTTCCTATTCAGTTATTCAGAATCAGAAAGCATTCCCTCATGGCTGCAGTGACAGAAAAGACCATTGTGTTGCCAGCTGGTGTCTGGAATGTCAGAAGTTGAGCTGAGGATCAGTGAAGGCACTTACTCATTTCATACATACAAGAAGTTTATGTCTTTGTGACTCTGGCTCTTATATAGCACATGAGTCAAAACTTGGGGTCTACAGACTATGCCCCAGTTGTTTGAAACTAGCATAGGAATTCTGTGTAAATACCAAAAGTCAGGATAAGGAAGTGAGTTGCTAAAATGAGGCAGAAAATACAAGCTGGAGAAAAGTCAGATGAAGGCTGGCAGGTGAGGAGGAACGCATTTTGCAGAAATGAGTAAGATTCTTACATACTAAAGTGAATTTTGACTAGGCAAGTTTTTAACTGACAGTTTCAGAATCACTTGAACTTTGCTTTCTAATTAATGACTCCGTTTAACTCATAAAGGGGAGCTAAAGTCCACCATTAATTCCTAGTCTGTTGTGGATCTGCTGCTGAAATCACTGGTCTGTTATCTCTCACAGCTCTCCCTGCCCCTCTGCGTCTCTGGCTTAAGGTTCATCTCTCAGGAAATAGAACCTTCTTAAGGAGATAAGTTTGCTTTTGGAGATTAGCCTCTTGATCATATCCTGACCAAAGTGAAACCTACCACATGGTCTGGAGGGCCAATGGCTGGCTGAGTGCTGGGTCGGAGGGCAGGGAAGGGTGAAAGGTGGGACAGAGAAAGGGGGGTGGCAGTAATGGCTTCTAGGTAGAGAGCAGGAGGCCATGGGGGCTCTAGGTGGGAGGCTGTGTGAGGCTAGAAGGTGACATTCAGAGCAAGGTGAGTGAGAGCAGAGGGCTGACCTGACTGAGGATGGGGCCCTAGCCAGTGCCTGTCCTTGCAACCCTCACTTCCTCCTGTCTCCATTTCTCTACTCAGATGAAGCAGCAGAGGGTGGGGCTGCCCCTCTCTCACACTCCTTCCCCCCTGCCTCTGTGGTCAGTGCCTCACACTGGCAGAGTGGGGCTTGGGGCTGGGCAGTGAGCAGAGTGAGGCCCCAGCTGGCCTGGAGACTCTGGGGGTCAGGTCAGCAGAGGCATTTCCACCAACGGTCCTGCTCCTACATCCAGCCTGAGACTTGGAGGGACATGTATGGCCAGGTTGGACTCAGGAGGTTTTGAGGCCAAGCTAGAAGGGAGCCCCCCCCCCAAGGTTAGCAGGCGGACAAGGACTTGCTGGTCAGACTCAAGAAGCCAGTGGCTGGCCCAAGCCAGAGGGACAAGGCATGAGGAGAAAGAGTGGGTTGAGGTCAAAGAGTCCCAGGACTGATTTTTTGGCTGCTCTTTGTCTGAGGTGGTCTTGGGCCACTCCATGAATTCAGAATGTTTAAGGGGATGTTTTAGGGCAGTATGTCAGACACACAGTCCTCAGATATCACCTTCTCTAGTGGGGACACTTTACTGTCCTATGGATACAGAGAGTAGTTTAAGTATCAGACTCTTCAGATTCAATTTCTGGGTTCACATTCAGTTATGTGAACTTGACCCAGGTTTTTTCATCTTTAACACGGGATTGGGGTATAATAACAGTAATGCCTGGCATTACTGCAAAGATGACAGAGGACACGTGTAAAGTGCACAGAAGCCCTCGGTAGATGCCAGCTGTCCTGTCGAGGACATTCTTACTGACTCTGGATTCCTCACTGTGACTCAGAGGGGCTCTGTGAGAGCTTACGCCTTTCCTCTCCTTGACCAGGAATAGGAGGAAAGTCGGGTCTCAGGTTGTTTTTCCATTTTGGATACAAACTCTGGAATGTGACTCAGAGCTCCCCATGCCACGAAGACAGTTCACTTTTAATGTGTTCATTCTTGGCAGAGTGGAAGAGTAAGATTCTCAGAAATAGGTCTGTTCAAGAGCTGTGTGACAGTTGAAGGCATTAATCCTGCTGGGCTAAGGGGCCCTTCTCTCTCATCACTGTCTGCTCCCCGAGGAAGGGAGTGACCGAGTGAGACCCAGTCTGAGCGACCGTCTCTGCCGGCGCCCTTCACTCTGCTTCTCACCTGCTCAGCAGTTCTCTCTATGACCAGCTCTTGGCAGAATCAGGCAATTCTGCTTTGCATTGCTTTACAGTTTTTTAGCCTGATATTTTTCCTTAAGATATGTTGACACGTGCTAATTTAACCCAATCATATAGAGCAATCAAACTAAATTCTGGGGAGGAATTAAAACTGTGGAGCCTGCAGGTGAAGGCTCTGCCCTGGAGAGCAGAGTGACTGGAGTAATTGTGCGCGTCCTTCCCTGGCTGGCATTTCCTTCATTAGGTGAAATTTCTGCATTTTACTCTGAACTCTGTCCATTTCATGAAAGTTTAGAACATTAAACTTTCGCTGTGGAATACAAAACACTTTATGTAGGTTTTTGATGAAATAATACTAGAAAAATACATAGCCTGAATACTTCATGCATATCTCAGCATATGAAGTAAATTATTTCTTTAGAAAATGCACTCGAATTCACACACATTCAACTCTGTTTCGTAGTATCTTTCATGGCTACAGAGCAAGGCAGGTGAGGCTTGTCATGAGCGGAGAGCAGCGTGGGTGCTGCCTCCTGGCAGAGACACAGCAGAATTGCAGTCTCAGCTCCTGTGAAGGGCACACAGACGTCTTCACCACTGTCACTGTGAACCCATAGCTATGAGGTCACAGTTGCATGAACTCTCCTCCCAGGGCTGCATGTTGCCCACAGAAAGTCCTCAGCATGGCACTCGAGGAACAGCCTGCTCTGTGGTCCTGCAGCCTCCCCTCCTGAGGTCTCTCATACCCAGACACCTGCTGCCCTGGCTCTCAGTCTCCTGGACGTGCCACGTGCTGTCATGCTGCCAGCCCTCCACCTGTGGCCATGCTGCTTACAATGCCCCTTTCCTGCCACTGCCTGCTGCCCAGTAGAGGCCACTGTCCTTCCAAGGCCCAGCTGGTTTCTGCCTCAAACTTCACTGTGCCCTTAAAACCAGAGGAACCAGATTCTTTTCTGTGAAATGTCTCTGATATTTTGTCATTTTGACATATTGGAAGGAGCACTGGTGTAAAGTTGGGTTGAATTCTAAATTCAAATCTCTGACTGACTTTTTGTTAACCGATGACATTGGTCATAACACTTAACCCCTTATCATCTCAGTGTCCTTGCTGGGAAAACAGGCTTTCTCATTAAGCAAAATAAATGAGAGAACATAGGTGAGCTATCTTGTGTCAGTGACTGTCATGGGACACGCTCCATGAATAACTGTTTCTTCCCTTTCTCTGTGACCTTGGAAGCTCTGATTATTTGCTCATCCTGCCCCTTAGATTCTGATCACCTCCAAAGCAAACTCAGTCTTCCTCATTGTTGTGTGTGAATTTGCTTAACAGTTTACGGAACTAAATGGATTTCCCTAGTGATCAACGAGAACACATTTTAACTGTGTATATTCAGTAGCACCTGTTGTCAGAAATTGCCTTGCTGCATTTATCAAGATAATCTGTGGGCGAATTGTCAGTCCATGTGAGGCATAGTAAAACCTAAATTTTAAAGTGATTAATACCATCAGTAAATTCACAGTGGGCCAATGGGTTGGTACGAGCTGCTTTATACTGAGGGTTGACACAGACAGAAGGTCACTTTTCGGTTCCTTGTCTTCCCTTCCCTGCAAATGGGAGGCCTGAGAGCAGAGCTTGGGACCAGCTGGGCAGTCTGGGCCCAGTGTCTGCTCCAGCTCCATGTCAGCCACAGCCTTATGAGCTAAGTTTACATGTATATGGAAAGGGTGAGCTGGGCACGGTGGTTCGTGCCTGTAATCCCAACGCTCTGGGCGGCAAAGGCGGGAGGATCCTTGGAGCTCAGGAGTTCAAGACCAGCCTGACCTAGAGCAAGACCTTGTCTCTACTAAAAATACAAAAACTAGTCGGGTGTGGTGGTGCCTATAGTCCCAGTTATTTGGGAGTCTGAGGCAAGAGGATCACTTAAAGCCAGGAGTTTGAGGTTGTTATGAACTATGATGCCATGGGAATCTACCCGGGGTGACAAGGGGAGGCTGTCTCAAAAAAGGGAGGGGTGGTCTTACTGTTCTGTGCATGCATCTTTTTGTGTACTAACACTCTGGGTCTCTCCTTAGACGAGACAGAGTATGAATACAGCGGGAGTGAGGAGGAAGAGGAGGAGAATGACTCGGGCGAGCCCAGGTATGTGAGCAAAAGTTGAGCCTAATCTTCATATTCACAGTGGTGCTTGTGTGGAATTCACTTTCCTTTTGATTTATAGGTTCATTTTTAAGAATCTGCTAGGGTAGGTTTACTTAATTTATTGCCCATGAATATCCTCATTAATGGGGGACATTTTCCCTAGGCAGACTCAAACAGAATTGTAGAAATCAGCATATTCTTTACTTTGTCCCCCAAGATGTATGGTCTCTGTCCTCAGAGCCTGTTCCCTCACACACATAGCCTTGGAGAAGGAGCAGCAGACAGTTGTCTGGGTGATGCAGGACTAAAGTACTTAAAGCTGTACCTTTCTGAGACCTGTGTGATGATTCTGGACAAGAGCTCTGCAGTTCATTCCTTCCTGCCTTTGAGGAAGGTCCAGGTAGCCGCTGTCCTGGTTATGCATCCTGGTGTCTCACCACTGCCAACCAGGAGGACAGGATTTCCAGGAGATTGAACTACACACTAGAGAAGCCCAGACAGAAACTCCACCATTCCCACTGTCACACACTTCCAGAGAGTCCAGTGCTGCCCTGTCACTGTCGTCCGTGCACTCTGCATTTCACTCTCCTCTGACCCTGGCCTCCTCCTGGTCTGTGTCTGTAAGCAGCTGAGAACAGCTCACACTGCAGGACCCTCCAAGAGAGTTCAGCTGGCAGCTGAGTTTTGAGAGGCACGTGCACCATGGGGTGATGCACTGAGTGCAGAGTGAGGCTGGGGAAGGTGTCCAAACAGGGGCACCAGGGCAGCTGGGTCCCCGTCCTCTGGGCATGGACCCCAGTGCTCCCTAAGGCCAGTCCCCAGCTCACTGGGGCACAGCTTCCTGGCCAGCAAATGTCTGGCTCAGCCACCCTGTTAGCATGCGCTGAGCCACGCATGAGTTTTTTTTTATTTTTAGTTAACTCAGACCTACTGAGCCGCTCTGAGTTGACAGGGAAGGGCGTGGGGGCCTCCAGTGCTCCTCTCTCCACCTGTTACAGGACTCCTCAAGGTCAAAGACCAAAGGAGACCTTTTGTTCCATCTGACATGTAACATGTCACTGCCCCTGTTTGGCTGAGTAGGGCTGACGGCTGTCAAGTTGTAACACTAAAGTTGAACATCCCTGCAGGGCAAAAGACCAGGCTCATTCTTTCAGACAATTTGAACATGCTTTCCAAAGCTCACCTGGAGAACTGTGTCCCCACCCAGCCACTCGCTGCATAGCTGAGAAACCCTATCTGTCTGGCACCTGCTAAGCTATATGCTAGGGTCACTGAGGACACCAGAGACGCTGCACCTTCACCCTGCTGTGACAGCGTGACAGTTCACTATGTCACATGACCTGCAGTAGGTGTGACAGACCACTGTGTCACATGACCAGCTGTGTGACAGGTTGCTATGTCACCTGACCTGCTATAAGCATGACAAGTCACTATGTCACACTGAGGGTTATGTTCCAGTCCTGTTTTTCTAGAGACATCTGATTAATGTTCATAAAATCTTGAAAAGTAGGAAAGGACAGTGGTTATCTCATTCTGGAAAGGGTGGTAACTAGGTCACACATACAGTTAGGGACCAAGTCACTAACACAGGGCAGGTGCTGGACACAGACATGACTCAGTTAACATCAGCAGAGCACCCATGAGTCATGAGGCTGGCACCCCAGGCCATCTCCTTTGCACAGAGCAAGTGGCCTGTGCAGCTGACAGTGCCGTCATATGGGGCTTGCTTTAGAGGAAGCTTGTCATAGATGCCAGGCATCATGAGCAGTCTTCAAGTCACACTGTGGCAACTCTTCACACACCCACCACTGTCCCGAGCTGAGCGCTACTCCCCTGCTGGCCTCCACAGGCCTGTCCCCACCCACATTTCTCCTTCCTCATTCCTCAGGCCATTTTTCCCACCACCACCAGCTGCTGGACAGACTCTATAGACCCTCCCTGCTCCCACATCACCTCTGCCACAGGCTTCACCACCTCCATCCCTTGAGACTTCTGCCACCCAACCCTGACTGTCCTGGGTATGTCCACCGGGGGCTGCTATAGCAGCACTCATGCCCTGCAGACGGGCTCTCATATGGCAGCCAAACAGACCTGCCATCCTCTCCAGCCACAAACCTTCCCCTGTACCTGCCCAGCCCATGGGCTGTGCCCCGTCTGCTTTGTCCCTCTGACCTCCTAGAGCCCCTCACCCTGTCACTCTGCCACACCACAGGCCTCTAAAAGTTCTCTTCCTTCCACCTGGAACATTCCTCCTCCATTGCTGTGACCTCCCCAAAGGGATTCCTGACCACAGTGTCTAGAGTCCTATGCTCTCCCTAACACCTGCCTGTCACTCCTGAGCTATGACCCTTTCTTGTGCCCTGAAGGACACATTCATACCTGAAATCATGCTGTTTGTAGTTACTTGCCCTTCCCACAAGAAGGCAGCTCTGAGAGTTTATCTGGGGACCACTCTGTCCCTACCAGCTGCAGTGCTTGCCAGGTAGCAGGGTCTCGGTAAATATGTGCTCAATGGGATTACTTCGTATTTATTTTTAGAAGCTTCCCGAAAAATTAGAAGGGCTAGATGTGAATGAACAAATAGAGTCACCTCTTTCTTCCTCATGAGGCCGCTGTGCAGAGCCTAGGAGTCTGAGACTCTGTTGCAGCTGGGCATGGGTGGGGGACAGTATTTCCCTCATACCGTCTGCCATGTGCACACACACACCCATACACACACACCCCACCACTTGCAGGCAAGGAAAACATCACTTAAGCAGAATCCTGCGTGGTGCAGCAAGAGGGACCCTGACATGGGCCTAACACCCTGGGCTCAGCCCCTGGCTCTGTGCCAACTTCCACACAGAGTCCCCCTCCCACCCTGGTCATCATCATCACAGAAGCAGCCTGGCCTCTACCCCATAGGCACAGGCATCCTCCTGCCCCCAGGGGTCACCTTTATTCCTTTGCCTTTCCTACACTATGGGGGTGGGTCCTGCCCCTCAGACCTCCCCACAGTCCCATCTCTGTCCCTCCTGGGGGGTGTGTCCTGCCCCACAGTCCCATCTCTGTCTCTCCCATGGGGCTGGGGTCCTGCCCCACAGTCCTGCCCCACAGTCTCATCTCTGTCTCTCCTATGGGGCTGGGGTCCTACCCCACAGTCCTCCCCATGGTCCCGTCTCTGTCCCTCCTGCAGCTCCATCCTGAACCTGCCTGGTGAGTCCACACTGCGCCGGGACTTCCTGCGGCTGCAGTTGGCCAACAAGGAGCGGTCTGAGGCTCTGCGGCGGCAACAGCTGGAACAGCAGCAGCGGGAGAATGAGGAGCACAAGCGGCAGCTGCTGGCTGAGCGCCAGAAGCGCATCGAGGAGCAGAAGGAACAGCGGCGGAGGTTGGAGGAGGTAAGGCCTGTGCACCTGCACTGAGGTCCTGGCCAGGGGCCACCTGGGCCAGGTCCTGGCATGAGATTGGGGTAAGGCCCATGCACCTGCACTGAGGTCTGAGCTGGAGGTGGGGGGAAGGGGTGCATCTGGGGTTGAGGTGAGGCTCATGTACCTTCACTGAGATCCCAGTTGGGGGCGTCTGGGGTCATGGTGAGGCCTGTGCATCTGTGCCAAGCTCCCAAGGAGGGACATCTGGGTTGGGGCCACCTGCTTGGGCACACAGGGCTCAACTGCATGGGTAAGGCCTGTGTAGGAGCCCCCTTGCTATAGCAACAAGTGGTCACCAGCAGGAGGCAGGACAGGCCTGCAGCTTTCCTCACAGCCAAGCTCTCACTCCCCTCGCCTAGTTATTTCGTGGAGCCCGTTGCCCCAGACACACTCTTCATGTACTTTGTAGGTCTGGATCCCCTGGCTAGAATGTGGGCTCCATGAGGAGGGGGCGTTATCTCTTATTCTTCGACGTGTCTCTTATACCTGAACGGTGTCCAGTACTTCTGGTAGCGCCTAATAAATACCCATGGAGTAAGTGAGTGACCATGTGAGTGAGTGAGCCAGTGACTGAGAGGTGAAATGCAGACCACAGGCAAGTGGAATGCTGAGCTCGGGGAGCAGGGCTGCTTGTCCACACTGCACGGGTTTCATGAGTCCTTCTATGCAGGCCCCTTCAGACAAGATCTCCTGTCAGCAGCAGACAGTGCTATCACCTGTGTGGGTAGTGAAGCTGCCAGCCAGTTTCCAGCATGGCTCCTCATGGGCAGGACTCCCACCCTGTGGTTTTACAGGCCTTTGTCAGCACCTCTTTTCTAGAACCTCGACCACATCTCTGAGGCTCCTTCCTCTGCCAGATATACCAAAGCCTCTAGCCAGTTAGGAATTGTCAAGGGCATAGCTGCTGGGAGTCAGGCAGCAGGTAAGAAGTTCGGTGCCTGCAGGATAATGAGGCAGCAGGTTGACAGGCCCCCACCAGCAGCTCACTCCTCAGTAAGGCTCTCACAGCCATTCACCTGCATTGTCAGGTGGCACTGAGCATCAGGAGGTAGTGTGGACACCAGGAGCAGATTGTTTTTTGAACTCACAATTAAGGTCCAGCCTTCCCGACTTACATCAGTCAGGGCTTTGGTTCTAGTCTACAGTAAATCCCATCAGCCTCATTGTGTCCTGGGAATGTTAGTTTCAGACCAACAACAATAATACTCAGTGATTGCAGTTATGGAGTGACTTCCGTGTGCCACGTGCCTGGCAGGATATTCTCATTTCCAGGTCTCATCTGCTATCATCACCTCTCTACGGGCACCCACTGTCTCTCATGCTGCAATTATGGAGTGACTTCCGTGTGCCACGTACTAGGCAGGATGCTCTCTTACATCCAGATCTCATCTGCTGTCATCACGTCTCTGCGTGCACCCACTGTCTCTCATGCAAAGTGCACATAACCCCATCTAACAGAGCAAGCTGTGGTTGTTTGCGAATGTACCCATTTGGGGCGGGGATGTTGTTGCCTGCGTGACAGAGTCCTCTGTTCAGCACTTGGCTTGAATTGTGTCAGTGAATCCTCATGGCAGTCTCCAGCCTGATGCTGAACAGCAGAGTTTGGGGTTAATACCTTCTGAAGGTCGCACAGCCTGAAAAGAAATCAGTTTTGAATCCAGGGCACCGGCCTGCACAGCCCGAGCACAAAGCAGCCACATGTCCTCCTTTCCACGATGAGCCATCGTCAGCATGCCCTTCCCCAGTCTGCAACTCTGCTTCTGTGGTCTTTCAGGGAACCTCAGCTCCCGCCCAGCAGGTGCATGTCTTCGTGTTGGTTTCTGTCCCTGATGCTCCAAGTCAAAGCCTTGCCAAGGCCACCTCTGCATTTTCTCCTCTGTGGCACTTACTGGAGGTTCCCCTCCCGTAGCTGCAGGTCAGGGTTCAGCTCACAGAGGCTCATGCATACACAAAGTCACATGCTGCAGGTCCCAGCTTGCATGGAAGACATCTGTGATCATTTGCTCCATGCACAGTGGGCACAAGCCTCAGCTTCTCACCAGTAGCAGGAATACATGTTCCACAGGGCAACAATAGGTTATAATAGCTTTACCTTTGGTCCTTTGTTTTATCCTGTAGCTCAGTAGACAAGAATAAGAATACTAAGTAGACACCTGTAAATTCTGAAGCCCTAAGTAATGACATTCTCATTACTTGAATGGTGTCCAGTGCTTCTGGTAGCACTTTATAAGTGGAATAAGTGAATAAGTGGAATAAGTGAGTGCCATGTGAGTGAGTTAGCCAATGACTGAAAGGTGAAATGCAGGTTCTGACTAGACCACACAAGCAAGTGGAATGCTGAGCTTGGGGAGCAGCTATCCTGTGCCCTGCTGCTGCTGGACCCTGTCCATGCCTGTTGCCTGGACTTTGGTGACCACTTGGATTTCTACTGTCCTGAGTAGGAACTCAGACGACCTGGTTGCACAAAAAGTTCAACTGGAGAATGTAGTGTGTCTGTGGGTCAGTGGGGCCCTGGTACGCACCCTGGGAAATATGCTTCTTCCCCTCTGGTAACATAGGACTGTGGGATGCAGTCTTTGTATTTCATAACCTCAGATGTCATTTCTGCCAGAGGGTTCTGAGGAAGCCCTGCATGGCCTTTGCTATTCTGGGTGACTGTGTTCTCTGCTTTGTCACCTCCTGGGAGGGGCTTCCTGCCCAGTGAGGGTGTTGTACTGAGATTTCAACCCTGCAGCATAAAATGCTGCTAAAACATCAGGTCCTTCCTGGCCCTTCACAGAGGAGGCGGGGTGTGTGAGCACTCTATACGCACAGTGTTTCACCCTGATAAAACCCCAGCATTAGATGGTTACTAATCCCAGTGTGTCCAGAGCACAGGCCCCCAGCCCTTTTGGCACCAGGGACCAGTTTCATGGAAGACAGATTTTCCACGGACTGGGGGCAGGAGTCGGGATGATTTGAGCACATTACATTTATTATGCAATTTCTATTATTACATTGTAATATATAACAAAATAATTATACAGCTCACAATGATGCAGAATCAGTGGGAGCCCTGAGCCTGTCTTCTGCAGCTAGATGGTCGCAACCTGAACCTGCAGCCCTCCCCAGCGCTGGAGTCACTGCCTCAGCCCCGCTCAGATCATCAGGCATCAGCTTCTCATAAGCAGCATGGCCCACATCCCTCCCACGGCAGTTCCCAGGAGGGGTCGGTCTCCATGAGAATCTAAGCCAGCACTGATCTGACAGGCGGTGGGGTTCAGGCAGTGATGCTAGTTATGGGGAGCGGCTGTGACACAGAGGACACTTCACTCACTGCTCACCACCTGCTGCTGAGCTGTTCTAACAAGCCACAGACTTGACGGTTTACGACCCAGGATTTGGGGACTGCAGGCCTAGAGCACCACATGCATAGTGGGGTACTTTCTGCCTGGAGTGGGCATCACGTGGCCTGCTTCTGCTATCAGGAGTCTTCACAGAGCTGCTCTCACTGCTGTGTTCTGCAGTTTCCTCAACCATTCCTAACCACAGGACTATAGCAACAAAATAGCTTCAGAAAAAATTTCACTTCACATGACATGTAAGTCAAATTGTCTTCATTTCAGTTATTTTCTTCAGTAAGCAGTTCACAGAATTGTGGAGGCTGCAGAACATCAGGAAAGTCAAAAGTGGTCTTGGCCAGTTCTTCCCTCAAAGCCGGAATCCCGACAGTTCTTCTGACTGAGTTGTTATCCCGCCTGACATCGAGGGTCTCATGTGTCCATGGGCGTAAGACAGCACATTTAATTTGTGAACAAATCCTAATGTTGGAAAATGTAACTTTTTTATTAAGTTCTTGTGATTTTCCTGTAGTAACACAAGTTCTTCCAAGTGAAACTAGAAGGCCTTCCATGTCAGCCCTAAAAATATCAGAAGGCAATGGTAACCTCCTCTCATACCGTTTCCAGATGCAGCATAATTTAGCATCTCCGGCATCACTGTGGGTGCGCTACAGTGGCTCTCGGTGTAGACATCATATTAAACTGGTTCACAACCCGCTGATTTTCACAGGACTCAGGCTGAGGGTCTCACATCTGGAGGTTCGTCTGCATTTGGCTTTTACATTGACATTCTGAGTCACAGGTGTGAGGGACGGCCACCCAGCCATCCTTTTTCCTCTGTATGACACCCAGGAAAACCCAATTGGCTGCTGCTTCTGGGGAAGCTGAGGCTGGGAGGTGATAAGGAGCTTGTGAATAGTCACACTGACCAGCATCCCCAAAAGAGGCAGGACGAGGAGTCTTCATTCCACATCCTTGTGGTAGTCAGGGGTGTCCAGCCTTTTAGTTTCTCTGCACCATATTGGAAGAAGGGTTATTTCAGACCACATGTTAAACACACAAACGCAGATGACAGCTGATGAGTAACAAAAGTCTGTGCATAATTTTCGAGGTACCTGCCACCATAGATAAACAAAAAAGTCCTCACATAATCCGCATGTGGCCCCCAACCTGGGGACTGGACACACCGTCCCTCTCCCACGTACACGCATGTTCATCAACACCTAGTCAGGGTGGCTCCTACCCAGAGATTGTCCCACTAGCACCAAGGAAAGGCTTCATTTAGGCACTTGATTTTTCAGGAAAGCTCTGAGCAGGCAGGTTGGATAACTTATTTTGAATAGTGTAAAGTTGGAGCAGAAGGAAAGGAATGAGGTATATCCAGCCTGTCCAGTTTCCTCGATGTTCTCTTATTACTTTTTCCATGAAGAAAAGAGGGATAACAAGTGAAGACAGAAAGAAAAAATGGCAGTTTGAAAGCATAAGACAACAACTCTCACTCGGCACATACAAGATGCCTCGACCTGCTTCTTCAAATTCACAACAGGCAGTGTGGTGAGCAAGGCACAGAGGGCAAGTCCTGGCTTTGCACTGACCAGATGAGTGAACCTCGGCAAGGCATTGGCCAGAGTGTGCCTCAGTTTACCTATGTATGGAATGAGGGGATGAGGCCCTGATGCCTCTGTCACCTTCTCTCCATGCCAGTGTCATGTTGCACTGAAGCTCTGGGAAATTCTCAAACATGGATGTCACCTGACTCCGTATAAGAGGGAATGGGATATGTGTAAAGAGGGACCCAGGGACATAACTTGCTTTTCATTTGTATGTATCCTTCCCCATGGCTTTTCTTTATCCCAAAAGGAGGACTTAAAGTGGCTTACAGAGACTAATATAGCAACCTTGTGCAGAAAGAAAATACAGAAACTAGAAGAGAAAAACAGTGAAGGCAAAAGCAAGGTCGGCTAGTGAGCACCTGCTCCTGGACGTCCCGTGGCTACTCTTGTTCTGAGATTCCAGTACCTGGGAACAGAGGCAGACAGATTCATGTTGTCCGTTAGGCTGTCATTGAGCAGCACTACAAATAATGCCCAAGACAGCGTCCCCACCACAAGCACAGTGGGTAGCCTTACTCAGCTACTCTGAAGACATAAAGTGTGACTTTATGGCAGAAGAGCTCATCACAGGGGCCAGCACCCACAAGGGCCAGCTCCTTGGTGCAGGTCTAGGAATGATTGGGTCCTCCCCTTTTCTATTCCTTTCAGCTTACAGTTTTATTCCCTTATTTTGTTTTGAGGCCTTGCTCTAGGATGGCACATAGGTATGTGCCAGTGGCAGTGGCAGCTGCAGCTGGCTCTCTTTAGAACGGTGGTTTTCAACCTTCCTAATGCTGTGGCCCTTTAATACAGTTCTGTGGGTCGCAACCCACAGGTTGAGAACCGCTGCTTTAGAGGCACATTCTGCAGTCCTCAACATAAAAGTGTGTTCTGGCCCTTAAGACCCCTCTGACAAGGGCCTTGAAGGGCACAGGTCTGGTCCTGAGCTCTGCAGGGCACTCTCCCCTCTGTTACTCATCCCATCTGCAGTGTCCACCCTCAGAGGGGGCATACTCAGTGTAGGAAGCAGTGAGAAATTTAAAAAAGTGGGACAGAGACCCTGCCCACGAAAATTTGCCTTCATCCTGGATTGTAGAGTTGCTATGACATCCTCTAACCATATTAGACGGGACAGCCTGGCATCAACTGTAATATTCATGGGAAGGAAAGTGCTGCAGAGACGCTGAAGAGGCTGGGGTGCTGTCATCTGTTTCCTGAGTTTCCTGCTCTGTTCAGTTCAACAGACTCTTAGGGCCACCTGCCAGGCTCCAGGACTGCATGAGGGGTAGGTGCAGCAGAGGCCAGTCATTGGTCTTGGCCTCAAAGAGTTGCTTTTAGCAAGAGTCTTTGAAGCTTTGTAAAAGTGTCTGCGTAAGGCCAGGGACAGGGTCTTTGTTTAACATGATTTGGTAACCTCTTTCCTCAAACAGCCCCAGGCTAAGGAAGCGAGAGAGAGCAAACATTTTTTCAGGAAAGGAATTAACATGAAGACACAGCAGCTAGAAATTGGCAGGGTGCCCTCAGAATGTTGGGGAAGTGATTAATTTTCCAGCCTTGCCACAGGAGCTGAAGCCCTGGCAGATGCCTCTGTGAGTTAGCAGTGGCTGATCCGAGTGAGGTTGTTATTATTTATTAGTCACTGTAGAGTGTCTTTCTCAGAAACTGCAGAGTATTTGGGAAGCTCATTTGCCCTTGAGTGCAATTAATACTATATGCAACTTGCATGAGAATCTGAGTGGCACAAAATTATAACACCGTATTGATTCCTGGCAAAGGGGTTCAAAATGTACAAACCCTTCACATAAAAATTATCTCACTCTTCAAAAGGCTTGATTATTTTTTTCCTCAAGAAAGAGACCTATGATTGGAGTAAAAAACTTGAAATGTTAGCTAAATTAGAGTCGTTCCCTGCCAGGAGCCAGGTCTGTGCACGTAATTATTTTATTATTCTCTGTTGCACTGGCTCACTTCAGTTGAGCATTAGAAATGTTTCTGGTTTGGGTTCATAATCCCAACTATCTGGTCAGTTCCTAACTTGACGCTTTTTTCTTGTGTCTTCCAGTATCGTTTTTCTGTAAAGCAAACACTCCCATGTCTGGGATGACCCTGTCATTCCTTTCCGTGTTCCTGCCCTTCTCTGCCCCATGTCCAGCCAGCCCTGTGGCCAGGACTGCACCTGCCCTCACATGCCCCGAACATCGCCAAACTCCTCCTGTTTTATTTTGGCCAGTTTCTAATTTCTACCCCTGGACTGCAGTCCCATTAGAGTGACTGTCCTCCTTAGGCTGTGTCTCCTCAGCAGGGATTGTGACCATGACGATCAGCCTGGCTTTGCTAAAATCATCAGGCCCTGTCATTCCATGCCCTGATCACAGAGTGGCCTCATCTTGACCCTTCTGTGGTTGCTAGGGGCTTTGAACACACAGTTGTGACCAGGTCACCTGGCTGCACAAGGCACCCCAGCAGCCCCCCTCACCTGTAGTCTGAGCTGGACAAGCAGCTGCTGCTCTGACAGTGACAGGAGATGAGTCTTGAGAGACACAGCTGTTCCGCCCCAGACTCCAAGGTGGTCAGAGCCAGAAAGTCCCAAGGACAAGGTAGGGGCCTTGTCAAGAAGCTTCCTCAGAAGTGTCATTGCCATTTTGAATATCTGTGGTTGGTCTGGCTAGGCACTGACAGAGAACTTTGCACAAAGCTGTCAGTGGTGCCGTCACTATCACTCCATTCCGGGGCCTTCTGCTCCCTCAGCCACACAGTGGAGTGTTGCTGAGAATGTCACAAGGGAGTGGGCCTCCTGCAGTGTCCCCTGAACCTCATATTTTAGCAGCCCTAGGAAAGGGGTCTGACACAAAGTCCTGGCAGCCTTTCTCTACAGGGTACTCATTGCATGTGTGGGAGACACTTAGATGTATGTGAGTCTCTCACATTTCAGGACACTTGTCATAACCAGGCCCTCATGCTAAGTGCCAGTCACAATTCCCAGTCACTGAGACAATCAGAAAAGGACTTATATCCCCACTGGTTCCAGATGCCCAAGAGATGGACGAGGTCCCCCTACTTTAAGAGCCATGGGCTCCTGTAACTGCTCAGCCTACTTCTTATTCTCCTACAATGTTCTCCTTTCTGAGTAAAATGAAGAATCAGGTAATTTGTGATGGTTCTTTTGTTTCTCTTGCCTCTCCATCTTCTGCTGGGTCTGGGCCCAGACCCTGAAGTCCCCTCGCCTAGCTTTGGAATCAAGCTCTATACTTACTGGGTGTGACCTTGAACTGGAGTGGGAACGTGAAAAGTTACTTAATCTCTCCATTCCTTAGTTTTCTCATATAAAGTGGGGAGGACAATGATACTCGCCTTGAGAGAGTTTTATGGAGATTAAGATCAAGCTGCAAGGTGCTTGTCTCAGGGCCACTGTCGGACAGTGGTGACTACGATGACTACAGCTACAGAGCATAAGGGTCTTGTTTGAACAAGTTTAAAATGACACCTAGAAATGAATGTTCTGTAAAATACGGAGAGGCAGCGTGACCCATGGAAGGGCAGGGGCCAGGTGAGACTCGGGAAATCCTGTTAATTACTGAGTGGCTCTGATTGTGCCACTTCACCTTGCTGATTTTTACTGCTCTGTCTGTGAAATGTTTGTGAAATGTGGTGTCAGGAAGACTGAGTGACATGAGCATGGTGAAGTGGCCACCTAATCAGCTTGACAACAGGTAATAAATACCTGATTTGAAACTCCTCCCAAGCCATTAGGGGATTCGTTTCCCAGGAACTTCTTGGGGACAATGCACCTGCCTGATAGGTCTCAGGTCTCTCCCCATCACTCCCCACCCTCCATGTGCCCCACAGCCCCATTGGTGGCAGGTGTTGCAGGCCCCCAGGTTCCTCCCCAGCCCCATGTCCCCACAGCCTCACGCATCTGGACGTGTTTCTGAGAGCTGGCGTTTGCAGTGGGGTAGCTTCCCATGGGTTTCGGACACCCACAGGCCCATGGCCCTCACAGCTGTCCTCGTGTCCTTGCAGCAACAAAGGCGGGAGAAGGAGCTGCGGAAGCAGCAGGAGCGCGAGCAGCGCAGGCACTACGAGGAGCAGGCCCGGCGGGAGGAGGAGCGGAGGCGGGCGGAGCACGAGCAGGTACCACTGGTCCGCGTGCGCGCGCGCGCGCGCACAGACGGCCCTGGTGTGGGTCGCCTTCTCTTAGGAGCGCTGTTAAGTACGGTTTACATTCTCAAGCAACTGTTCTCACCTATTGGAGACGTCCAGCACACGGCCAGGGGGATGCCTGTCACCCAGCCTGCATCCCACCCCGCGACCTCTCTGGTGCGCCTGGGTCTCCAGTGCTCCTGGGCCCTGGGTGTCCTTCTGATTTGAAGACAGCAGGGGAGCTTGACCTTGATGGAGAGCCCAGTCCTCTTCACTTACTGCTTCGGAAAAGCTGTAATCCCCATGCAAATTCCAGTCTTTACAACTTCTGGCACCGAGGCAGGCCCCTCTCCTTGCTAGTCTCAGGCTGACAGTGAATCTGCAGGCGGGTGTGGCAGGGACCTGGCTCCGGCAGCGTTCACTCCGCGCTGTGCGCCCAGGAGCCTCTGCACTGCACATTGTTGCTAGTTCCAGGTACTCTGTAGAGAGGAGCCCGTACTGGAGAGCCCTACTGTGTAGCTGAGTCTGTTAGAGCCAGGTGGTTGACAGCATAGCCAGGGATGCAGGGAGGCCGTTGAGACTCGCGGGGGCTTTGCTTTGCTTCAGCCCACCCTCCTGTTCTGTAGGAGATACTGGGTATTTCCACCTTCTTCCTTCTCCATTTTACTTGACAGCTCTTGTCACCTTTAAAATTACCTGTTCTTTCTCTTTCTTTCTGTTTCTCTGAATGCTCTGCTGCCGCCTCTCCAGGAATACATCAGGCGACAGTTAGAGGAGGAGCAGAGGCAGCTAGAGATTCTGCAGCAGCAGCTCCTGCACGAGCAGGCTCTACTTCTGGTAACGGACGGGAAGCCGCCTGCTGTGTGGGCCAGCGTGTGTCCGTGTCTGTCTGTGTGTGTCCTCCTAACATCAGCCCACACGGGGCAGCTTCCAAGGCTCCCGGGCCTCAGAAAGCTCATGGGAACATAATACATAGTCTTAATACATTCAATGCAAGTCTTACACATTCTCCATTCCATCTATTGGTGAAACTTTAACAAGAATCCAGTCGTACTTTAAGTACAAACTGCTTTGAGACCCACTGTGTTCCATGCAGAGTAATTTCTAAGGCCATTTGCAGCATGCTGGAATGCAATCACAGCAAAAGGCACCTCTCCCTTAAGAACTCACCTACCTCTGCAGCTACGTTTCACTTGCAGACTGTTAGTTTTGTCCTTACGATGGGAACGTCACCCATTTCCTGCTCTTGTGACATCCACTCCAAGTGCCACACTGCTCTCCAAATGGGCTTCGTGGTGTATTTTTTTTAACTGAACTTTTTATTTAATGACATTCTGATATTTTTTAGCCTTTACATAAGCTTAGTAATGACCTTTGCTGGTCCAAGTTTTATTAGACAAAGATGATTTAGGCGTTACCACCGGCTACTTGTTTATTTTTTCACTTAACTACATGTCATGTTTGAATGGTTTAATTACTAGATCAGTCAGTGAATGGCTCCTTACAGGGGGTGTGTCCTGACCATTTAACTGTCCTCATTACTAGCATTTTCTCAGTTATAATCCATCAGGGACAAGGCACTTTGCCAGTGGCGGTGTCCTGTGGGAACGGCTGTATAGACACTGCACAGGTGGGGCTGGTCTCTGGGATACCCCTGATGCCTCCTACAGCCTGGTCATGTCCGGCTCTTTGTCACTTGGTGTCTTTTTGCCTGTGTTGCATACTTGGCCAGCATGGCCAGTGATTGCCATGTGCTGACCAGCCTTTTCTTTGCCCTGTTTACTGATCTGGACAGGAATATAAACGCAAACAGCTGGAAGAGCAAAGACAAGCAGAGAGACTGCAGAGACAGCTGAAGCAGGAGAGAGACTACTTGGTTTCCCTTCAGCACCAGCGGCAGGAGCAGAGACCCATTGAGAAAAAGCCACTGTACCATTACAAAGAGGGGATGAGTCCCAGTGAGAAGCCTGCATGGGCCAAGGAGGTGAGTGAGCGGGTGTAGCCACGCCTGCTGGCCAGGCTCTTAACTGTGATGGTTCGTCCAGCTGCAGAGCTGGAAACAGTCCACCAAAGTACACACACTTTGCTTTCGCAAGAACCATAACATCATTCCTGTAGAGACATGGCAAGGCACCTTATGCCATGTGTAGTTTTTTTGGCATTTCTTTGTGGATGTGGTAGATTTTTATAGGCAACAGCAGAAGGTAGGAAAAAATTATTTTCCTTATACTAATCCAACTGAATTTGTGGCATGAGGATTTTTAGTCACTTTTTTTTTTAATAATGTGATTAAGGACTTATGGAAGTCTAGATAGACTCATTTTCAGCCCATACCTGGGCCTTGTTAACTGACCATTAACACTGTCACTAACATGAGCTTGTTTGCTGTGATGTCATCAGGAGTAAGTTGACCTCAGACTTGTAGATTTGGCATTCACTTTTAGGATCAGAGGGCATTTGTGTTTCTCTTGCAAATACTTCCAAAGTAACAATTTGTTGTTGGCTTGACTGCTAGATTAATGAGGGATTTTCAGGAATTTGACTCTGTGATGAGCTATTTAACACTATAATTAAAAGCCATTTAGGTGGAAAGGAAAAGAAGGGAATAACCAAATGGGTAAATCAAACAACAGTAACTCCAGCCCTATCAACAACCCTTCCAGGGAGTCCCCGTGTTGGCACTTCTGAGTAACACCCTGGTGGCCAGTTCTATCATCATTTGTGGCACATGTGTGATTTCCTTTATTTTCCTGTGAGCATAGCTAGACACTTAGGAAGATATTTTGGTTATTTTGTATTTTTATCTAGCATCTCTAGATATTTATAGCTAGAGTTTTTCTCAAGTTATCTAGACTACAGTATTTCCAAGACCAGATTTCTTATGTAAAATCCTATATTTACAAAAGTAGTTCTCTCTTTTTATTTTTCTATCCTGTCTGATATGTACAGAAAACTCTTGAAATGTTGTCCTAATGTTAATGGTGGTAGTTTATAGGAGGTAGAAATCAAAAGATTGATTTTTTTAAACCTGTTTAATCTTCTATAGATTGTTTAACTCCTTTATAGTAATCACATACTATTTTAATGAAAACAAAACTAAGTGTAGAAAAAATCATCTTGATTTGGGATGGGGCTGTTCTGATCACTTTCCTGTGATCTGTAAGGTAGTCTGCACTTAGCTGTGTCTGACGGCTGCCTCTTTCCCTGAGGTTAGTAATTCAGTCATGCAGTCCTACTCTCAGGTACAGACAGCAATGACCCCTTCATAACCCACCCGTTCTTCCAGCCAAGTATAAACACCACGCTGATAAACAGCAGATAATGTGCTTCCTGGCTGGCAGAGACACTCCACCTTCCTCCACTACGAAGCCATTTTCTAGCTATGCCAAGTCAAAATCCTCCTCTGTGCCAGACCTGCAACTCCTAACCATGGCGGGTGTGGAGAAAGCTGAAAAACTGACTTCGTTATAGCTGATGCCAGAAGCACTTGCAGGAATTAGTGGTTCCAGAGCCAAACTCCTGTTTGAGTGTCACTCACGGAAGGATGGACCAGCTTGCACTATTAGACTGGGTTCAGGAGAAAAGCAGAAGCCTCAGGAAGCCTTGGGGGCCACAGTGAGCTCTCCAAGGCCATCTCCCTCCCAAGGATGTGGCCCAGCTCAAGAGGTGGGATCTGAGGTCATCTGCATGTCCTCTCCCAACATCCCCAAAGTGACAAGCCCTCAGCTGTCTGCTACTGAAATGAAGGAGGGCCTTGGAGATGCACGTGCACCTGAGGGCAGGAGGGCCATGAGCTCCTTGACCCCACTAAGAGCCGTGTCACAAAGTGACCTCTCCCTGAGGCCTGACCACTTGGCCATCAGTGCTCCCATCCCCAAGCATGAGTGGCCAAGGAGGAGGACACCTGCAGCTCCCATTGGAAGGGAACATGAGTTATTATAGACCACCCCAGAATTTCCCCTTACCCTTGGCATCTCCCTCATGCACAGACGTGCCAGAAAATGGACCTAAGCGAGGGGTGGCATCCATTTCCTCTCAGCCTCTGCCCAGCGCACTCTGCTTTGGACTCCTTGGCTTTGACATCCTTGTTTTCTTGTTGCTCTTTGTCCTCATCACTGAATTTACTGGACAAGCCTTTCTGTTCAGAACCAGGGCATGGTTCCTGGCTCTCTGAAGCCATGGCGTTCCTAGGGGACGTCTCTGCAGGTGTCACCGAGGCAGCCTTGTAGACCTGCTGGTCCCTCTGTGCTGGTTGGCTAGGCTCCAGGCAAGAGCGGTGTACTCACCAAACATGCATACCACAGGGCGTGTCATCAAGCACTCCTACCGTGAGGGTTCCCGGCCCCCATAAATCTGAGCCTGCCCTGGTAGATGACAGCTGCGGGTCCCTCACAGCTGGTGTTCTTCCTCTGGGCTGGAACCACTCCCAGAGACGCTGGCTGGGGATTTCACATTTGGTCCTCTTCTCCTGGGCGTGACTAACACCATCCAGCTTCCAACTAACCAGCCATCTGCTCATGAGACAGTCTTTGAGCCTTGCAGTGGGTGATCTTTTTCTTTTTTTTTTTTTTGAGACAGAGTCTCACTATGTCGCCCTGGGTAGAGTATACAGCTCACAGCAACCTCCAACTCCTAGGCTTAAGCGATTCTCTTGCCTCAGCCTCCCAAGTAGCTGGGACTACAGGCCCCTGCCACAACACCCTGCTATTCTTTTGTTGCAGTTGTCATTGTTGTTTAGCTGGCCAGGGTCGAGCTTGAACCCGCCAGCCTCGGTGCCTGTGGCTGGCACTGTAACCACTGTGCTAAGGGCACTGAGCCAGTGATCCTATTTTTGAAGAAAGATGAAATATTACATGATAGAAGGAGTCTGCCGGTGCTAAATTTGGGATAGGAGCAACTGATGCATGACTAAACAGATAATCACCTGCCTTGATTTGATTCATCATTTTTAACATCAATGGGTGTGACGATCCTTAATCTTTCACTGCGTCTCAGCTCAACCTGTGTACTTTTTCTAAGCATCATTACCAGATCTCCTTTCTCACATCAGAGGGGCAGGCAGGGCTAGCCATTGGTGATAGGCATTTCAAGACTTTATATGTAAACAGAATTTATGGCTTATCAGCATTTTAGCTATCAACTGATACTGATAAGAGAGCCTGAATTAAACTCCATGGAGGTAGAATTAAAAAGCACCATTTTCTTTTTCAAATACTTCCTCGATCTGAGTAAAAATTTGAAAAAATCCTTACCAGGAATGAGTGGGCAGCTATGCTTCTGCCACCAGCTCCTGGGATGTGGGGTCTGGACATTTTCAGCCCCTGTGTCCTGCGATATGGGGTCTGGACATTTTCAGCCCCTGTGTACTGGGATGTGGGGTCTAGACATTTTCAGCCCCTGTGTCCTGGGATATGGGGTCTGGACATTTTCACCCCCTGTGTCCTGGGATATGGAGTCTGGACATTTTCACCCCGT